ATCAAAACTAAGGGTTGATAGAGAATCTATAAGAGGGCTCTGCGTTAGGGTCTTTCTTAATCCCCAACCCCCGCTCCCCCCCTCCCCGGGTATGGTAGGGTTAGGCTGTTTGGTGATGGCTGGGGACTGACTTTGTGGGCTCTTAAAATTGGCTGGTAGGCAGACAAACTGGTGGTCCTCACAATTGACCTGAGCATGAAGGTACAGATGTGTGAGAGAGAAGTGTTGACTAGGCTCAGTAAGACTTAGTTCAGGCTCTAAGAGGTTCTTTTTCTCCTTCCTCTCTTTCCAGAGCCCTGACTTTGTCTTCATGCTGAGCAGCAAAGCTGGGGGCTGTGGCCTCAATCTCATTGGGGCTAACCGATTGGTCATGTTTGACCCTGACTGGAATCCGGCCAATGATGAACAAGCCATGGCCCGGGTCTGGCGTGATGGTCAAAAGAAGACCTGCTACATCTATCGCCTTCTGTCTGTAAGGATGGCGATAGTGGTCGGAGCAGGGGTGGGTCATGGAGTAAGACCTTCAGGACCACCTTGGGTTGTTCCTCATTGCTTCTCCTTGGCTCCTCTGCCTGTAGCAGTGGCCAGACTATGGGCATAGCCTGGAGCCCTTTATTCTTCTGTTCTCTCCCCCTTACTTCACCCCATTCCTTCAAACCTTTCTTACTATGCTCTCTGGACACCTGTTCAGTAGTTAACAAGCTCCTCTGTGGCCTTATCCTTTTCACAGGACACCTGCTTTCTCTCATACCTGACTTCTGTGGTACTTGCCTTGCAGTCTTCTCATACTCCATGTCCCATGGGGCTAAGAAGTGGTATTGGTTCTCAGGGATCATCCATCCATCCTCTAGTTCCTCTTTTGAAGCACATGTTTTCTTACTTAACTACCCTCTTTTCTTCCTTGCTACATTCACCCACTCTCTGCCATTTACCTAATTCAGAAATAACTTTGGATACCAGCTCAGTCTTCATTTCTTTCCCAAATCCAGCTTTCATCCTGGCTGACTTAAGGACCGTGCAGTTATCCAGCACTCTGGCCTTCGTGTTTCCTTGGCCTCATCTCTTATGATCTCCCAACTCCCACCCTGCCCCCTCCATTTATTTGTTCCCAAGGTGACACTCTGGAACTTGTAGTTTTACCAAAACTTTAATAGCTCTCATTCTACTATCATTCCTGTCCTTCCAGCCTCCTCATACCTCCTACATCTGCTTCAACCTAATGTCCCTAGTACCGCGCCCCTCACGTCCTCCCAGGCTGGCTTGACTTCCCTTTCTACTCAGCCTGATCCTTTCAGCCACTCTTCTCCTTAATACCTACTCCACATGGATCATTACAGCTCTTCACAGCTTCTGCACCAGATAAAGCTTGCATTTACAGATTGGCACTACCACAAACTCACATTCTCCATTTTGAGCTGGGCCGTATCTCATTTCCTTCAACAGCCACTTCAAGCCTTCACCACTTCCCTCAAGTTTCCTTACCTAACCCTGTCTCTCCTTTCTGCAGAGACTGTCTTCTACCTCACAGAGAAAATGTAGGCTACCAGGCTTAAATTCTCTCTCCTTCCTTCTTCTGTCAGTCTCTACACCTACCCTTCCCTTCTCAGAGGAAGGCAGGCTTACCATTCCAGCTCTGCTCTAAACCCCTTTCCTTTCCTTTCCTTTCCTTAGTTGATCAATTTCTCCTTTATTCCCCTGAAGTCTGTAAATATGCTCAAGTAGCTCTCACCTTAAAAATATGTTTCTCAACCCTCTGTCCTATTGAAGCAACTACCTTGGGTTACTTTCCATTCATTCAATCTCAAATTTTTCCAAAGCCTACAGATTTACTTCACCTCCTCATCTCCTACTCACCCATCAGACAACTTACTCCACTGAACCTGCTTTCAGTGTACTGTTGGTTTGTTAATTGCTAAAACTAGAGACTGATTTTTCTTGTGTATCTGACACTGACAACTACAAATCTTAAAATTTTTTTCTCTTTGGAAACTCCACTCTGGTTTTCCTGCCTCCGTGATTACATACACTCTTTATACTGACAAGTCTCTAATTAAACTTTTAGCTCAGATATCTTACCTGAGTTCTAGACTCATATTTCCGTCACCTACTATGTATTTCCACTTGCTTGTCTTTTGAGCACTTCAGATGCATCATAACTGAACTTGTTCCCCTTCTGATTTTTGTCATTTAATGGCTCCATTATCCACCCAGCCCAAATCTGGGCATCATCCTACTATCCAGGTGTCTCCTATCCAGATTCCAATTACCACTGATTTTTGCCTTTTTGAAATTTCCTTAATCTAACCTTCTCCATCCCATGCTGAAGTCACAGTCATCTTTCATTTGAATTTTGCAGCAGCTTCCTAATTCTTTATCATAACCCATTTTTCACAACTACTTCCAGAATGAGCTTTCCAAAATTTCTGATTTTGCTTTTCACTTCGGGGACAAGGCCAAGACCTTCAGCCTGGCATCTAAGTTTCTCCGGTATGGGGCTTTCTCAGTCCCAACTCTTACTACACACCTACCATCCTCTAGACAGGCTGAACTCCTCAGTCCTCTAGTAGGCCAGGTGTATTGATTTTGTTCCTGTTCTGGGAGTGCTTTCTCTTTTGGTCCCCTTGTAAGCCATCTATTCATTTTTCAAGATTCAGTTCAAGGATACTCTTTACTTTCAAGCTTTTCAACACTATTCCACTCTACCATCCCTCTTGTGGGCCCCAGGGTATCCCATATAGATTTCTACCCTTGTACCAATTAGTTTATATGTCTGTCTCTCCCACTAGTCTCAGTTCAAGAATAGGGATCATATTTGATTCTTCTTTGCATCTTAGTGTTAGCACAGGATCTGGCATAGGATACCCAGATGACATTTACTGAGTGACTGAGACTTGGGCTTGCTGTAGAGGTCTGGTGAAACTGCTGCAGACAAACCTCAGCTCACCCTGAAGAAATTTAGCCAGGCCCTGAAGCCCTCCATCAATACAGAAAGTATCCTGGTCGGGCAGACATGCACAAGTCATTTTCCCAAAAGATAGACTGGACAAATGGGCTCAGCTGAACAGAGGTATTGCTGCAAGATTCTTCTCATTCATCTTCCCTTCTCTCTGGTGGCTATAGTTTCAACCCCTGGGTTTTCCTGCCCTCTTTGTATGGGGATGACTTAGTACTGGCCCCCACTCCCCACCCCACCCCCAGGCAGGAACCATTGAGGAGAAGATCTTTCAGCGTCAGAGCCACAAGAAGGCACTGAGCAGCTGTGTGGTGGATGAGGAGCAGGATGTGGAGCGGCACTTCTCTCTAGGCGAGTTGAAGGAGCTCTTTATCCTGGATGAAGCTAGCCTCAGTGACACACATGACAGGTGGGTGAGGTACCTCTGCTGGCCATCATCCCTGAACACCCTACATCTCATGGAGATGGGATCTATAGTAACCACAGCTCTGTCTTCTGCCCCCAGGTTGCGCTGCCGCCGCTGTGTCAACAACTACCAGGTGTGGCCGCCCCCTGATGGTTCTGACTGCACCTCAGACCTGGCTCAGTGGAACCATAGCACTGATAAGCGGGGGCTCAAGGATGAGATACTCCAGGCTGCGTGGGATGCTGCCTCTACTGCCATCACCTTCGTCTTCCACCAGCGTTCCCATGAGGAGCAGCGGGGCCTCCGGTGATAACCAGCTGGTCTGGGGTGCGGCTGTTAGAGGAAGGAGATGGGGGAAAGGGAGCTCCATGCCCCATAGGGCCCTGTTTTGTTCTCTGAGAGAAAGATCATTAAGAAGGGCTACATGATGTTTGCCCAAAATTTATTTTATAAGAAAAACTTTTTTGGTTAAAAAAAGAAAGGAATAAAGGTATGAAAGGGACTGAGGCCTGGGAGCAGCATGGTGAGCCCAGCGGAGGAGAGGCCTGGTAGTGGGCACTCTTACCCTTCTCTAAAGCCTGGGTACCTGCCTGTGGAGGGGGGCTGTCCTCGGTGACTGATGACCACTGTAACCTCTTGGCCCAGGGTTCCCAGGGCACTGAGTAAGGGGCCCAAAGACTCTAAACCCAGTTGTGAGAATGCCTTTTCTGGGCCCCATCAAAGCCTCTAGGACCTCAGTGCAAGGGAAGAAGGCGGAAAAAAGGAAAAAAGGTGGCAGAAAGAGAAAGACAGAATTGGTGGTTGGGAGTTCTGGGCAGCCCATGCCTCAGCCCCTGCAAGCTGACGGTACTGAGCACAGGCCTGTGAGGCATGGGCCCCATCACATGGTGCTGACATAATCTGCGAAGGCTTGGGATGAGTCCCACGAGTCGCTAACCACGTGGCAGGTAGCCCGGAGCCGCCGGATGGCTTCCCTGGCTGTGACTGCATCCTGGTCCAGCCAGTTCTGGAAGAGGCGCAGGTGACCAAAGGCTCCACGGCCCCAGCGCTCCAGCCGTTTGGCGAACTCCAGAAGCCCATCTGGCTTGATGCAGTTGGAACTGGTGGGGGTGAGATGGATTAGACACTCAGGAATCAACTAATCCCTGGTCAATGTCCCTGAAGCTCCATCCTTTGTCGTTCTACCAACCCCTCACCCCCTCCATGTGTACCTGATATCAAGCTGACACAGAGAGGAGGATGAATCTTCTGAAAAAACATCTGCGAGGGCCAGGAGACCAGCATTCCCTGGGGAGAAGGGGAGAAATGCTCATCACCTCTACCCAAGAACAGGGAAAAAGGGCATTCCAACCCAATTCTGGCTGGGAAGAAGCCCAGCTTTCTGAAGTTCCAGCACAACTATATCCCAACCCCTATCTTCCCAGTGGAGAGGTCTGTGCCTTTGCCCCCTGAGTTTCTAGGTCAAAGGACTGGCTCCTTCCCCTTCTCCCTCCTCAGGGCCCTGCCCCCACCCAGGCGGTTTCCTGGCAGCCGGAGGCCCTTCAGTGTGGAGTTGCCCTTCATAGCAGCAACCATCTCAGGCAGAAATTGGGCCGGGCGCTTCTCGAACAGACGGCAGAAGGAGAAGGTAATCTCTGTCAAGAGAAATTGGAATAAGTTCTGATGGCTGCATTAGGACTGATGTTGCCCCTACTGCCCCAGTTGGCCTTAGCAAGGGGTATGAACATTTTATACAGAGTCCCAGAAAGAGAAAAGAATTTGTACAAAACCCCAAGCAAGGCTGCAACTAAATCAGGATTCAAATCAGAGACTGAGCCTAGATGTTCACTGCAGGGAGGCTCTCTGCATGGACAGTTCTCCATTCACTTCCTTCTATGCAGGGGTGGGCATTAGAGATGAGCCTGTGATGGGAGCCTGACAGTACATTTATCCCTTCCCACCACCATTATTTGTCAGCTACTGAAAGGGAAGAAAAACTTTTAAGTGAGGCACTCTAAAAGTGAGTAAATTCCATGTTCAGTATAGGAGGAGTTGAGTTTGGGACCCTTTTAGAAGGAAGGTGGTGCAGGTTCTATAACCATTTTATAGTTGAGGACATAAGGTCAAGAAAAGAACAGTGGCTTGCTCACTCACTGACACTGGCAGAACTGCACTGAGGTCCCAGGAATGCCCCAGGTTCTGGATAAAGAACTTACCTTGAAGAGTCAGATTCTGTAGCAAAAAGAGCACCTCACTCTGACAGTCGGCTAGATTCATGTCGTGGAAGCTCAGCCTCTTCAGGGCTACGTTGTATTCTGGATGGGAAGAGGGTTCATGGGCCTTAGCTTTCCCAAACAACAATGCAAGCTCCCCTCCTTCCTTTATCATTCTAGCTAGGTCCTACCTTTGAGTGTCTGCAACACAAGCCCAAAATCCTGGGGAGAGGCAAAGGTGGCACTATCCAGGGACAGCTGCTGCAGAGAACCTGAAGCCTTCAGTACAGAGCAGAGCAGTGGGGCCGGCTGAGCTCCGCGTGGAAATCCCATCTCCAACTGTTCCAGGCAGTTTTCTGGATATGGTAGGGAGAGAAGATTGTAGCTGGCCATCTCTTCTCCCATTGCAGGTCCCATCCTATCCTTAAGGGATTCACTTGAAAATTATTCATCTACTTGTCCTTGAGTGCCTTGAGTGCAGTGTGCTAGTATGAGATTTAGCCCTTGCCCTTAATGGAGCTTTAAATCCAAGGAGACGACTTGGACACAAGAAGATACAGAGTATGCAGAATGGTAGAAGACATACAGGAACTAAGGGAACATACAGCACAGGGACCTAATCTACTCTACAGAACAGCTGGTTCTGTTCTTGGTTCAGACCCCTTTCTGGAGACTGATCTCCATGGTGACCCTCTACTGGGCCAGTGTTGGTCTGGGACCTATCTGACCCATGCTTATCTTTAAGAACAGCAGGCTCTAAAGAGAACAGCTTCCAGATAAGCCAGGAATGAATGTTGACAGGCCCTGGATTAGCGGTCTTTTGCACCCCGCCCCCCTACAAATGCACATGAGCACACACACTGCTTCACCTGGTATCTCCTCATCCCCAATTATGTGGCTAGGGGGCCCTGCGTTCCCTGGCACAGCAGGGTTGTCCCTCTGGCTGGGGTGGTCGACACGAATAGAGAGGACCCGCAGCAGGGGCAGGGCTCGCACAATGGCACGTGTTAGCTCCAGGATGGGCAGTGGTGAGAACAGGTCACTGAGATGCAGGGCACGGAGGCGGCATCCAGCCTGGCCTGACAGGGCCCGCAGGCTGTCCAGCAGGCGGAAGATGTTAGAGCCCAGGCCTATGGCAGGAAGGAGAGATTAGGTCAGTCGTGTAGGAGTGTCATCAGAGGTAATATTCAGACACAACTCCAAATATTTCTGTTGATAACTACCAAATCTGAGCTTTGGACCAGATTATTTTAAATCATTCATCTCAACTATTCATTGATTGTCTTGCTTTTTCCTCAGGTAACCAGCATACTGATGTCTACTCTACTGGGCCACACCCTCAAGCGTCAGGGCAGAGTCACAAAATAGAAGATAGGATGTGGTGGGGCAGCATGTGGCTACCAGCTGAATGATAGGCCCAGACAGCAGCAGAGACCTCTGGACTTTTCCTGTGGGTCATAGGGAGCATCTACGAACTAAGCAGGAGAGTGACAATGATCCAATAGGGAATACTTTAAAAGATTCACTGGGTAGGGATAGGGCTAAAAAGGATAGCCACTCCCACAGAAGAGAGTAAAATCCAGAAAGGTTAGGACAGTTGCTTAATGCCACAAAGCTAAAGGGAACCCAAACCTTTAGCTCTCCTTGGACTGAGCAGGCTCCAGTTGATTCATTCACTCACCTAAACCTAGTAAATAGGGCCCTTTGCTAGACAGTCATGAGCAGCAGATCTTGTTCCTGCCTATATAGCCTGATAAAAACGTGATGGAAACTGGAGAAGTAAAGTACTGTGGAAATACAAAGGATGGGTACTTAGCACCCAGTCCAGCTCTTTTATCAGTGAAGGCTTTCCAGCTGAGTCCTGAAGAACATAAAGGAGACAGGCTAAAACAAAGAAGAGTGACTATGTCAGAGTGAACTTGGCATATATCAAGACCTGAAGGAGAAAGAATGGCAGGTTCCAAGAACTGAAAAATACTCAATGTGGCTGATGTGTAAAGTATGAGGGGGGAAGTGTTCAAGATAGAGGTAAGCAGGGGTGAGAACATGAATGACGAAGTAAGTAAAATAAGAAGTATGGGGACAAGAAGCCATTGAAGAGTCTTTAAATGAATGAATGACAGATTTGCATTTTTGAAAATGCTTAGGCTGCAATGTAAACAATGAATTGTGTGGTGAGTATGGAGTCAGGAGGAATTGCTGAAATGAATCCAGGTGAGAAGTAATGGTAGTCTGAATTAAAAATGTGGAGATAAGATATATTCAGGTTGGGGGGTATGGTTTATGAATTCCATGTTACGTAGCAGTCAGATGGATAAATAGGTCTGGAGTTTAGGAGAAAGATGTGGGCTAAAATCATAAAATGGGGATGTTTTCAGCCTTTGAAACTGAAGGAATGAGCAAAATTGTCCAGGAAGCATGTGTAGAGTGGGAGAGCTCAGAGAAACTCTAAACATTGAGATAAGAGAAGTAATATCCAGAAAGGGAGGAGAAAAAAAATGAGGTTTTGAGGTAGTAAAAATGAGACTCATAAAGATAATACTTAGTAGCAAATGCTGGCAAGAATTAATATAAGATGAAAACTGAAAGTACATATTGGACTTGAGGACCTCAGTCACCTCTTGGTCCTCAATGCGGTTGGGTGTAAGCAAGGTTGAGTGGCTGAGAGGAGAGAGCACAGATGACTTAAGGTTGACTGTGGACGGAAAAAAAAAATTGGTTAGCAGTAAGTTGAAGTTCATGTGTGATGACTTCTATTTTCTCTGTGAAGTAGGAGGTGAGGTCATCTGCTGAGAAGGGAAAAGTGGAAATGGTAGAGTAGGAATGGGAATTGCTGATGTTGCAAACAAGGTTCATAGGACGTGGATAACTGTATATAGTAGCACCAATTTGCAGTTGTGTGACTTTCTCTAGCATTGTTCAGCAACCTAGGCAGATAGCTGGATTTAGCCAGAATTGAAGTTTGGCTAGCTGGGCATAGCCAGGTGGGAAAGAACTAAGGACTTCTTCGCGGGTTGCTCGTCTAATTCAAAAAAAAAAAGTATCCCACAACTCTTTGTACAGCTGCTTTGGTATGACTAGAGAGATTCAATCTCAGCCCTGGCTGGGCCTGTATACACTATACTCTGACCTGCCTTTGGTTTGCCT